CTTTCTAAAGTACAGAAAAAACATCGATCCTTTATGTGATTGATCCTGACAGCTTTCACCAGCTCTGTACCTAGACCTGTCTTTTTTTTTTTTTCAGTCTACTTTTCATCATCTGTTTGCCAGATACCCTGCAGTTTCTGAGACAGGTGTGAGTTACTTTTTGAGTCTGGGATAGGATCTGTTTCTACAGGTTTGAGTGTCAGTCCATTCTGTCTCTCCTGTAGAAGGTCCTCGTATATACAGATCAAATACAGTGTTCTTGGTGAACTGGGAACTAATCCTTCCAAACTTCCATTAGCACCAGTGAGTTGCTTCCAGTTTGATATACTCTTTCCTGCAATGGGATCTTTCAGAGGTGATCCATGTGGCTGAGCTGGCTGGCTAAGAGGAGGCTTGGACTCTTGGGTGGTCAATCAATGCTTGCAGAGTACTTCAGAAGCGTGGGAGGAATTTGATTCCTCCAAATCTCAATTTCTGTTTAAACTTGCATTGTTGTCGTGGTTTGCATTCAGGTTGATACAGTGAATATGGTATGTACACAGATGTTTTCATAGTTTCTCAGTTAAGGCATTGTATTCAGGTTGATACAGTGAGTATGGTTATGTACACACATGTTTTCATAGTTTCTCAGTTAAGGCATTGATTCAGCAAAGTAATGTGGCACATGCCCTCCACCGTCTGTAAAGAGTGACTATAATGTCCATCCTGAATAAATAAGGGGAAACTCAAATAATTTAAGAGAAAATGGATTTGTGTAGGGTAAGCTCATTCTGAGCAATGAGCAGATTTAAAGCAAATCTGATTTTTCCAAACCATTCTCTGTCTTTGGCTGTGACTTTTTTGGGGTTTTTGTTTTTTTTTTTTTCATTCCAAGGGCGTGATTGGGAGTGGCAGGGTCAGATTGATTGTCCTCGAGTCTGCAGGCAATTTCTGACAAACATTTAAGTCGGACCTCCCCTTGGCAGATGGTCTTTCAGATTTCTCTGGTGCAGTGGGAGAGGTATTTCTATGATCTGTGCAGCACTGCAGGTTGCTGTAAGAATTCACCGTTGGAGAAGGAACAGTAAGGAGGTCAGGCAGTTATTGATAAGCATGTGGGCTACTGAGAGGGTCAGCATCGGGGGTCTCCCACAGAGGCAGCCTGCAGAGAATTCTACTGCTGGAGAAGCCACTCCTGTTCACATTAGAAAATCTCAGAGGAAAGAGAAGAATGAGACAAAGGGGAAAAAGAAAAAAAAAAAGAAGATTTTCTGACTGGATTTCATTTGTACAAAGTACAGCAGGTTGACAAATAGGAATTTCAGTGGGGTTAGTGTCTGATATTTTGACATCTTTAGACATTTTTGTAGATTGAAATAAACTAATTTTTTGGATGGAGTAGGTTTCTCTTCAGTTTAAAAGATGTGTGCTGGTGCTGAAAACAGTTGTTACAGTAGTGGCAGGGAAATAAAGTGAAATAAAAAAATGCCAGAACTTTTTTATTAAAGAAATGAATCATTTCAAATGGTCTCTAAAATAGAAATGCACATATCTCGTAAAAGTGACAACTGCAGGATTTCTCATCTTCTTTAAGACAAGCATTGTTTAGACTACCCCACAAAAATGAAGTTAAAACCCATGTCAGATAATCTGTAATGAGTACTCTTTATATTGAGATATTGGAGGAGGAGTAGCTTAGAACTGCCTTCATTTATTTGGAACCTTTTCTTTTCCCAACATTTTTTATTCTCAGTCATCTCCAATCACAGCAGAGCAGAGATCAGGAGCTGCTGTTGAGGTTACTCTTTTGTGCTGGGTAGTGATGGCAGAGTGAGAAATAAACTGTGAGCTGTGACCAAAGGCAGACTTGTAATTACTTGAATATAATGACAATTTGCCTTAATACTGTAACAAATGCTCTGAGTTTGCACATCCAAACTCTGCAGTTTGGATCAATTTTCTTGTTTACAAAATCAGCTTGCTTTTATTAGCACCAAAATTTTCCAGTGACAGAATGGTGAATAATCTTAGTGAGGTTCACTGCAAAAGAAAGGAAAAAATATTGTATATGATTAGACAGTGGATTTAAGTAGGTTCCTATATAGGGCTGGAGTTTGGAGCGGGAAGGGTTTGAGTGAAAATAGGAAGTGTTGGTCCACTTTGTTAATACTGTTTGGGAGGTCTGCTGTTATCTCCTCTTACCCAGTGTAAGATTAGACTCCTAAGCTGGGGATGCAAAAGGCTCGAATAAACAGCCTAACCACAGATGACACCAAACGTCAATCACGCATAGTGGTGTACAAAGTTGATTTACCCTGCTTGTAAATACTGAGCATTCATAGGAGCTTTCTGTATTTGAAGATCCATTTTCTCAGCCTGAAATTGGGAAGCAAACATTCTCTCACAGTACAGGTGTTCCCCAGCCCCTCCTTCCCCCCCATATTAAGCCTACGTCCGTGGTGCTCTCAGCATGAATTGTTCCCATTGCTTGTTGTTCAACACCCCGATCGCAGAGCAGATGAGACAGTTATTCCTGTTGTTGCTGATTTACCGTTACAGCTGCTTCTTGTGATTTAATTTGAAGTTTCAGCCCACCAGGGGGCTAATGGTCCCCACCTATGCAGCTTTAAAAGCTCACTGTTGTTTTCCGTGGGAGTGGTATTTCCAGCCCTAGCCAGTGATTTATTTTTTTTTCCCTCAATGTTCATCTGGAAGCTGCAAGGCAGTATTCTGTTAGCCATTTTCATGGAAAAAAAAAAAAAAAGAAAAACGAAAAAAG